TGTTTCTCATATCCTCAATTTAGTTCAGTATACCTCTGAAGGTGGTCTTTTCAACTTTGTAACCCTTCCCCAAATGACTTCATGCTCTTTGATTTACATCACATGAAAATGGCAATTTTGGCATCCTGTTGTTAAGTGCCATTGAGTAGATTCTGACTCATAGCGACCCTGTACAGGGTTTCAAAGGAGCTGCTGGTGAGTTTGAACTGCCAACCTTGTGGTCCAGTGCTTATCCTTCAGGGCCATACCAGGACTCTTTTGATATCTTGTTGTTGTTGTTGTTGTTGTTGTTGATAAGTGTTGTCAAGTTGGTTCCGACTCATAGAGACCCTGTATGAGTTTTCAAGGAGCGACTGGTAAGCTTGAGCTGCTGACCTTGCAGCTCAAGCTGACCTTGCAGTCCAGCGCATTAACCTGCAGCACCATACCAGAACTCTTAGAGGCATCTTGGTGGTGGTGGTGGTGGTGTTCTGTGGAGTTGGTTTCGACTTGGAACTCAAATCATGGTTATTTTCAATGTTCTTTCAATTTGGGGAACAGAAAGAGGTCTGAAAGGGCAAGATCAGGACTTGGGTCACTGGGGTAATTCCCAACTGAATTTTCATAGGACTTCCCTTACTACTCTTGAAGAATGAACAGGTGCATTGCTGTGGTGGAAAAACAAACAAACAAACTTTGGGCCCAGCTTTTCTGGCTTTTAAAAAATGCAGTTTTCAATTTTCTTAAAACTTCACAATAAGCCCCTGTGATTGTGATGCATCCTTTGAGAAAATGTATCAAGGTTATGCCTTGGGAATCCTACAAAAGTTGCTGTAACCTTCTGATAGATCTTTCTGCCTTGATTTTAACTGGCCCAGCAGATACCCTTGGAAGCCACTGCTTTGATTGAACTTTTCTTTTGATGTAGGATAAAGCACTGGGCTGCTAAGCACAATTTGGTGGTTCAAACCCACCAACCCTTCCAAGGGTTGCTATGAGTCAGAACTGACTCGATAGCATTTACTAACAACAGCAAGGAGACTAAAACAAGTGTATTATGGGAGAACTTGTCTGTAGTCAACCACTGATCACAGAGACATGTTTTGTTTGGAAAAAACTGCATGTTTGAACTAGAATCCTAGTAGCAACACTTTTTTTTTACTTATCTTCATATATGGGAATTAAACAACCTTTATGAATAATCCTGGGTTAAAGAAGAAATCACAAAGGGGTATAAGGAGCATTAGTGATAACAACATCTGAGCACTTACATTGTAAGGATTTAAAATATTTCATTTAATTTAATCTTAATAACTCTATGAGGTAGGCATTCTATTTTTAATATTAGCCAAAGAAATATTTACTAGACCAAGGGATTGGGTAGTAAATGGTGGAGCCAGGACTGAAATGCAAATCTACTTAATCTCCAAACTAGTGCTTTTCCCACTCAGTAGTGCATTCTCGCTTTTTCTTGTTAAGTGCTGTCAAGTCGGTTCCAATTTATAGCGATCCAGTGGATGCTGTGTTGGGGATAATCTGCAGCTTGACTATCAGGGAATTAGTAAGGATTTGATTCATTACAGTGATTAGAAAAGAGGGCTTATTGTTCTACTAATTATCAGTGACTAAATCGAGCACATATAGAGTTCCAAAAGTGGACAGAACTTTTGATAAAACAGTTAACAGCTGATTTTAAGGTACCTGTGTGAGTCACTGAAACTGATAGAGGGCTCTAGGGTTCTAGGTGATATTTCTCCAAATTCTAATTATACATCGATGAAATAATTAAACTACCAGCCGCTCCACGGGAGAAAGATGAGGCTTTCTACTCCTGTAAAGATTTACACCCTCGGAAACCCTGTACAGGGTCGCTATGGGTCGGAACCGACTCGATGGCACTTAACAACAACAACAACAACATGGCAACTACAAAAATATCTAAATTGAATTTTACTCTATTTCAAGACAAATAGCACATATTTGGGAAATGAACTCTTTTGGGTTGAATATTGTTGTTGTTGTTAGGTGCCATTGAGCCAGTTCCGACCCATAGCGACCCTGCAACGAATTTCCAAGGAACGGCTGGTGAGCATGAACCAGCAACCTTGTGGTTCAAACTGATTTAACAGTCCTGTGCATTAACCCACAGTGCCACAGGGTGACAAAGCTTATTGGGGCAGTTATGGATCAGTCCCAAATTCTGAGTATCTGGAAACTAGATTCTAAGCTACTTCACATGTCTTACTAACTCATCTCTCCACTTCCACTTTCTTCTTGCCTTTGATCTGTTCTTTATATCTTCATCAGTACTCCTCAAGTATTATTTGTAATGTTGCTGCCTAGTAGTTTCTCACTGTTTATATTATTTTCATAATTCTTCATTTTAAAAGCCTCAATAATCTGGCACTCAATTTACCTGTACAATTCCTGACTCCTGGTGGGCTCAGTTACTCATCCTTTTTTCATTGTCTACTCTACCACCATCATTCACACCCCTAAACCTCTGCTATATCATTTCTCCAACTTGTTTTTCCTTATTCTCTACTATTTTCCTTTCTGGAACATACTACTTTTTTTTTTTTTTTTTTTCCTATTTTAATGTTCCAAATCTTACCCATCCTTTAAAGTTTACCTCCTTTCATTTATTCAATGGACATTTATTCATGACATCAAGTGTACACTCCAAAGGGTGTTTTTAGGCACCTTTCCCCATTAAATTTACCATTAAAGGTATTATTATCAAATCTTTATTTTGCAGCTAATCTAGTTATGGAGTCCTGGTGTGGCACTGTAGGTTAATGCGCTGGATTGAAAAGTCAGCTTGACCTGCAAGGTAGGCAGTTCAAGCACACCAGCTGCTCCTTGGAAACCTTATATAGGATTGCTGTGGTTCAGAAATGACTCGACAGCACTTAACAACAGCAACAATAATCTAGTTCTGGTTCCATTTTAGTGAAATATCATTCTGGGTCAATGGATACATTACTTTTATCCCACTTTTGGCAACTTTTAATATAATTAGTCAGCTCAGTCTTCCCTCCTTGAGTTATGTAGCTGCCCCAGGCTGTATATCATAACTTAAGGTATTGTGTCTTCTGGGCCTGTGACATATAGCAAAGTAATGAGTATGTAACAAAGTAAGGAATATATATCACAGAAAAATTTTTAATTATAATCACAAATGAGTCTCCTAACTGGGGCAGTCATAAATTATGCTGCATAATGTCTTGGCCCTATACTATAAAACAACTATTAATATTTGAATGCATTAATTATTTTGCTTTATGTTGTGCAAGCAGCCAGGAAATAATGGCTCCCATTTGGAAAAACAGTTTTTTTTCTATTAAGATGTTTGTGGTTCACTGTGGCACAGTGGTTGAGCACTTGGTTGGTAACGGAAAGGTCTGTGGCTAAGACCCACCAGCTGTTCCATGAGAGGAAGATGTGGCAGTCTGCTACTATAAGGATTTACAGCCTTAGAAACCCTCTCTCTGGGCCAGTTTTACATTATCCTATAGAGCTCTACCAGCTGTTCTGTGGGAGAAAGATGAGGCTTTCTGTTCCTGTAAAGATTTACAGCTTTGGAAACCCTGTACAGTGTCGCTATGAGTCGGAACCAACTCCACAGCACATAACAACAACAACAATAGCGCTCTATGAGTCAGAATCTTCTTGATGACAATACATCTTTTTTAATTGAAATGTTTGGTTTGGTTTGCTTTCATCCCATATTTCACATCTTTTCTATCCATCATCTTTCCTGTGTGTTTACTAACTAGCATGGATGCAGATGGAATGAAATAAAGAATGCGAAGTTATCATTTCACCAATCCACCAGCTTTCTTATCTGTTTCATGCTTTCCTGGGAGGTAGTAGAAGTAACACAGGATGATGTTAGGGTGATGGGATATGCTTAGAAGAGCAAAACCCATTGATGTTTTGAGTAGATTCCATTTCACAGTGATTCTTTAGGACAGATTAGAACAGCCCCATAGGGTTTCCAAAGCTGTTATCTTTAGGGAGTCCTGGTGTGGCGCTGTGGGTTAATGTGCTGGACTGCAAAGTTGGTTTGAACTACAAGGTCAGCAGTTCAAGCTTACCAGCCACTCCTTTGAAACCCTATACAGGGTCGCTATAGGTCAGAACTGACTTGATGGTAACAACAGCAATCTTTATGGAAGCAAATTGCCACATCCTTCTCCCTCATAGTGGCTGCTGGGTTTGAACCACCGACCTTTTGGCTAGCAGCTGAGTGCTTACCCACCGCACCACCAGGGCTTCTTTTAGATAGCGAAGGACTTAATAAAAGAAGAAAGACCAAGGAATAAGGAAGAATAGGGGAAATATAGGGAGTGTACTGGAGTTGTTTTTACCTACTTTAGTGAAATGGAATCAAAATCTCTTATCAATACCTGCTGGTTAGTTCAAGACCATAAATATTTAAGATATAAGATAAAACAAAACATTCATATGAGTACAGAAATTTATAGTCCTAGTGTGGCACTGTAGGATAAGCTTCAAGGTTCAAACCCGCTAGCTGCTCCTTGGAAACCACATACAGCATCACTAAGAGTCAGAACCCACTCAATAGCGCTTAACAACAGCAACAACAAACAGAGATTTGGCAAGGGAGGCAAAATGGAGAGGACTGGCCTAATCTGGGGCATGGTGGCTTTCTCCTCTAAGCACTAAAAAATCAGTTGCTTGCAAAGGCCTACATTTCATTGGCTATATGTGGGCAAAGGCTAATTTCCATGTCAAAATATTCTATTTGATGTATTTATAAGGATGTATCACTACTGTTCTTGCATCTCAAGGCATTTGAAAATGCCATAAAATCATTTTGCTTTCAACAGGTCATTGGACTCTCATTTAATCTAGGAATAAGGAAATTTTTGAATAGCTATGTAGGCATTTGAACTAGGATACAATAGAAAGGGAGAATGCTTCATTGTTACTGAAACAAACTGCTGAGGAAAATAAAAAGTAATTCTATATTCTGTTAGCAATCTGCTTCTTACCCAAAACATAAATCTCAGTGTTGACTACAGCTGTACTGAATCGGTACTTGGAGTACTTCATGGGTGCCCGCTCTGTCCACTGGTCTTGACTGGGGTCATACCGAAACAGTTTGTTGCTTAACCGGTCAGGTTCTTCATCAGGAAGATCCATCTGTATGAAACATGACAACCAAGGAATAACATACCATTTCGAGATCTCAGTGAGCACAAGAATGTAATGATTCAAAGCAGATAGCGAAGGAGATAAATAGAGGTCAGTCAAAGTGACTCAGACTCACAAATACACTGCACCCTATGACGTGAGGCTATGAATTCACTGTCAGTATCAGGAGGGTTTATATTCTGTAACAATGAAGCTGAGGCATTGGGCGATAGCAAACAATCTGTAATTTTAGCAGTCAGACAATATAGCTTTTTAAAAAATGAAGCAACCACAAAGCCTTAAAAATGAAGTCAAGCTGTTGGGAGTTAAAAGCAAGTATAATTCTATTTTATAAAACTATATGTTGTTGTTGTTGTTACGTGCCGTCGAGTCGGTTCCGACCCATAGCGACCCTGTACAGGGTTTCCGAGGGTGTAAATCCTTATGGGAGTAGAAAGCCTCATCTTTCTCCCGCGGAGCAGCTGGTAGTTTCGAACCGCTGACCTTTAGGTTCACAGCCCGATTCGTAACCACTACGCTACCAGAGCTCCTTATAAAACTATATAGTTGTGGATATTAATAATACTTTTAGAAACTAATTTTAATAATTTAGAAGACATTTTACCAAAAATCTTAGTGTTTTACTGATTGTAGAAGTTTTATACTATACTTCTGAATTGAATCATGAATTGTTAAACCTAAATTCAAAATTTAAGAATGGATTGAATGAAATTTTTAAGCTATATGGATTAGTCTAAATAATTTGCAGTTATTGTATATATTTATTTTACTTATCTGGTGAGAAATAGTGCAAACTGAATGTGTTTATTCTTACACATATTAAGTGACTTCTCCTACTCTTAAACTTTAGGTGGAAATAATTTTTTTGTATACGATGTATCAGGAAATTTATATGACTTCAGACTAAGGATTCTTAAGTGTCTTTTTTCTTTGATGTAGCATTCAACTCAGAAATAATTCTCATACTTATGAAAGTTGTATGTGATTAATTTTTGTTGATTAAATATTCTAAGAGATGAACACTCTGTGCAAACACAAGTTATCTTGTAATCTACTCTATTGTAGCAGGTACTAAGCCAAACTAGCAAAACCCTTTATATGCAATAAGCCTTGACGCGTCTCTGTTCAAAGACCCGTTGTAAATGAACAACTATTATCTTTAAATTTTTAATTTCCCTCCTGATTTAAGTATTTATCTATTTCAGTGAAAGAGAAGTTTCTAAATGGTCTTTGGAGTTTATGCATGCAAAATTAACTATGTAAAACTTACTCATGCAAAATTAACTATGTAAATGGATAGTTTTGGAAGAGCTTTACAAATTATTTGTCAGGTTTCAGTTCTTAGCTATGATGAAATCTGAAACCCTTTTTGATACATAGAACAAATGAAATGTGTTAAATGTGAAATTTAAGTTTTTACAACAGCTATGGTATACTATAAATGGCAAGATTCAAGCTTATGAAATGAATACCAAAAGTACCAGTTTTATTATGAAGCATATCTGGAGAAACAAATCACACAGGCAAAAATAAATTTACTTCCTGCGGCTAGTCAGTGAGCCAGTATGACTAATTTTTATTAGAAAGACAGGATGACCTGGACAGAAGGTAGCTGAGGTGATACTACTGTGAGGGCTCTAAGACACTGGGAGGGGCACCCAAAGAGAAGAGAAAGAGCACCCATGGAGGGGAGGCCATACTGTAATGACTTTTCAGTGATGACTGGCCTTCAATATAGAAAGTATTCTGGTGTTTAAAATCACAGTGTACTTTTATGTAGATGATTGTGTCATTATATGATTGGTATTCTAGTTCCCCACTAAGAATAAAAATCAACTATGAAAGAGATCTAAAAGTTACTTGGCTCAGGTCACACAGCTTATTAAACAGACTGAATTGGAGGAGCATTCAGCTTCCCTGACTCCTACTTAGATGTTCTCTACAGATAATTCCTCAGTACAAGCATCTTTCCTGATTAACAAGAATGGGAAGAATTATGAAAAACACAGCATGAATACTGAATGAAGTCTTGTCTATGAATAACACACTTCAAAATTCATTCTTCTAAATTGCAGCAACACTTTAAAACCTCAAGTTTAACGTTCCAGAAAACAGAATGCATTTTACCAAAAATGAAAGTTATACTCTTTTAGTATTAAACAACGACAACATTTTCAACATAGCAGCCAAACTCAGCATAGCCATGCCAATTAAGAAATGTTTTAACCTGAGGGGTCCAGCCTCCAATCACATAAAGTTTATTATTCATTGTTACTACAGCATGACATGCCAACTGTAGAGGGAGGGGAGACACTCTTTTCCAATGGTCCTTCTCTACAGAGTACTTATCAACACAGTTTGTAATAAGATACTGATTTTTAATTTTCATTTGTCCTCCTATAACATAGAGATCATTATGAATGCTGCCCAGAGCATAAAGCTCTCGAAATTCACTTGTGCATAACTTTTCCCAAAATTGGTTTCCTCTATCGTGATACCTGTAAATTAACAGAGAGAGAACCCAGGATTAGCATTAACATGAAAACAACTTACCCAAGAAATACATGAAAATGTTAACCACATCTACCTGAAAAATTCTAGACAAAAAAATAACATACAGGAAAGGTATACATTATCTGAGACTAGACTTCATTTCCTATTTCTGGGAAAGAAAATAAAAAACATAAAGAAAAATATTTCAGAAAGACATTTGTAATTTTGCTGTAAATGAAGAAGTATAAATAAACAAAATAAAAAAATTAATAAGTAAAATATATATATATATATAAATTTCTATTCTGTGGGCTGATACTAAATAAAAATCATATTTTTATAGCAAAGAATCTGAAATATCTGTCAGAAATTTCTAACAGGATAGCATAAAATATGAAGAGTTTTAAGGTTTATTGTTGTTTTCACTGAATTAAAATAAGGTCAAGAGCACTGATAAAAACCCACCTGTCTGCTGGGCCATTTTTAGCATAATAGGTATGGTAACTTTTTCCATGGAAAGTTATATCTATTGGAGAAGAATCTTGGGAAGTAGGGACACTAGAATCCAACACATTAACTGAGTGTATGTGCTCATACAATGTGCGTACATTTATGTGTGTTTGTTTGAATGTAACATTATATAGTCACTGACTATATGAATTTGTGGCTTTCCTTGGTCTTACCTCCTGATAATGGTACATCATGATTTGGGATGCCAAGTCTGATAAGAATAAGAGTATTTATGGGATCAGTGGGATAAAATATGTGAAATAATATGTCCCAGAACATCCAACAAGTATACCTGAAATTCAAAACTACATCAAAACAAACAAAAAAGCAGGACAAACAAATATTTAAATAGTGCTGTCAGGAAACAAATTATATATGTGTGTTTTATACAGAGTATAACTTTTAAGTATAGACTACTTATTTTGTACTTAGTATTTGGCAGTTAATCACATAAAGGAGTTTCTCTCTGTTATTCTGGGCCAATTCTTACATTCTATCCAGAGATAACCTTTTACTTCAGGCCGGCTATGGAAGTTATAAGATAGGCTCTTTTTGTATAGCACATGTATGGTTTGTCACAATGGAACGAAGAAATTTACCAAACATTATGATAGCTCTCTTCTCTTTTAGATTCTAGGCAGAAAACCAAATTCCCTATTGAGTACTATTTTTAATTGTCTAGAGTCCTGGTGTAGCTCTGTAGGATAAACACTTGACCACAAGGTTGGTTTGAACCACAGGGTTAACGGTTCAACTCCACCATCACTCCTTGGAAACCCTATACAAGGTCACTATGAGTTGGAATCAACTTGATGTCACTTAATAACAACAACAATTTTTAATTGTACTAGATTTTAGAAAAAAAAAGACTAAGTTTCTATACATAGGGATTATTCAAGTACATAGAACTGAAAATGCTCTTTAGTGTTCCAAGAAATGTTTTAAAAAAGTAGTCTAGGAACAAAATACATTCCATGAAGAAATCGCATTATGTCTGAATGACTTATTTCATTTTTGACATTTTGAGCTGAAAATAGGGAGAGAAATGCCCAGATAAAACTATAAACATTATTGCTAAGAAGAAAAGTGGATATGACATAAAAAAGAAAACAATAGTGAAGAAAGCATGAAATATTTCACAGAAGTGGGTAGTTTAAAGACAACACTAATATTCTCAGTTGTTTATATACTAGAATGTGAGGGATAATTAAGGGAGACAAAAAGGTTTATCAGTTTGAAAAGATACGACCTCCTAGAGCACTACTTTTCCGTCTTTTAACTCACGATGAAAAATACCTGCATGAAAGAAAAATCTATGAATTATAATGTAGAGACTATGGTGCTGTACGATAAGCACTGGACTGCCAACCACAAGGTCAGCAGTTCAAACCCACCAGTTCCTTCTTAGAAAACCCTATATGGAGTTGCTATGAGTCAGAACCAACTGGATGATACTTCACAGTAACAACCAATTGAAGAGCATCTGGGAAAAGATAAAATGGGTATGTAACAGAAATAATATACTAGGAATGTTATATTTATTATATTTCTCACACATTTAACAAAACTGGCACTAGTGACCTTCAGTAGTACTGAGAGGTTTTAACTATACCTACTTGATGTCTCATTTATACTCAAAATAATGCACTGTCATCTATTTTGCTAACAATTTCATTATTGAAGCAAAAGATGAGGGTAATTGATACATTTACTCTAATTTTCACTAATGCGGAAGAACTGGTTGATGCTGGGAACCCTAGTTGATTTCAAGATAGATAAGGGAAAGATAGGGCATGTAGTGAAGCATGTACAGAGAGAAAGGGAAGCAGGCCTTCAAAATAAGAGGAAAGGTACTTAAGGATCAAAACAGAAATGCACTTTGACAGGGTTAGGCATTTAATTTTTAAAAATTCTGATGGCAGAGTAGAGGAAGAAAAAGAGCCATCCTCAGAACCTGAAGTACCTGTAAAAGAGAGGCTCTAAAATGGAAAGAAGGGCACCTAATTAAGAGACAGTAGCATGGACCTGGAAGAGCCACACCAGGGAAATCCCTTCCTATCAGGAGTCAGTATTTTGGCTCTGTGGCCTATGGTTGACAATTCTGGAGGAGACTGCTTCTGCTACTCACTGACATGCTCTACCACCATGGCCATAGGTCCAGGTCTCCCATCCAGAGCCCTGCATCTCCTCTGTCACTACTTTGTGATTGTCCTGTGCCATTGAGTCGGTTTTGACTCATAGTGACACTCTGTAAGGTTTCCAAGGAGTGGCTGGTGGGTTTTAACCACCAACTTTGTGGTTAGCAATCCAGTGCTTATCCTGCAGCACCATACCAGGACTCCTAGGGGAGATGACACATGTCTTCAAAGTATGAACAAGGGATGGCTCTATAGCTTGAAACAAATAACGTAATGCTGAGAGATGACAGAAAGTTAGTACACCTTTCTTTGTTCCATCTTCAGTGTCAGGAATTACTTTCTGACTGAAAAGTCTGAATAAGCTCTAGCAAGAGGGCAATGGAATCTGTGATGGGTGGATATTGAAGGAGAACTTTATTACTCTTCCCATTTATCCTATGCGCACACTTCTTATTTACCAAGTTAGACTTGAAAGCACTGAATACTTGGTAAATGAACAGCAAATGTATGTATATGTTCTCACATAAAAGATCCAGATGATATCCCATTTCTTAGTGGCATTCTTGCTCAGAGTTCTAGGTTAGAAACATTCTTAGACTATAAACATCTTGAAATATTGGATGTTTAGGGAAGATACACACATTAAGGATGGAAAATAAAAATTGATAGTCCAATGAGTACTTTTGGTCAAGAAAAGACATTGTTACTCTGAATTATGAATTAAAACACCAGTTCAAAGGTGATTGCATTAATAAACTTTTCTATATTATAAAGTTAGCCAATGAAAACTTTTTCGATAGGTGCATTTGAACTGTGATCTTGGTGAAGAATACTGAATATATCTCCCCCAAATGAACACGTAAGTCTCAGAAGAAATACAACCAGAATGAGCTTTAGAAATGAGGATAGTTAGGCTTAGGTTTGCTTACTTTAGACACATCATCAGGAAAGATCAGTCCTAGAAAAGGACATCAGAGGGGGTAAAGCAGAGAGCTAGTGAAGGCAAGGGTGGCCCTTGATGAAACTGAGTCACACAGTGGCTGAAACAAGGGACTCTAACAAAAAAAGGATTATGGAGATGAAGCAGGACCAGGCAATGGTTCCTTCTGGTACACATAAGGTCACTGTGAGTCAGAGTCGACTTGATGACATCTTGCTAAAAATGATATTAAGCTCTTTTAAAACTAAGTTTATAGTGCCCTAGCATATGAATTTCCAGGATCAGGCAGTGTTTCATTTTGCTGTGCATAAGGTCGCTATGGGTCGGTACCGACTCGATGGCACCTAACAACAACAACAATCATATGAATGGCGTTCTGGTGTGGTGCTGTAGAATAAGCACTGGATTGCTAACCACAAGGTTGATGGTTCAAACCCACTAGCTGCTTCTTGGAAACCCTATACATGGTCGCCATGTGCTGGAACCTACTCAATGGCACTTAACAACAACAACAACAATCATATGGATAAATAATGAAAGATAGCAGTGAAAATATATAATGGATTCACAAATAGACATACATTTAACTTATGCAAATTTAACAATATAGTCTCAAAAAATACAGGAAGAGAAAAAAATAACTTTAAAGTGTGGATGATTTGTTTACGAATTTTACACATAGACTATATTTTCAATAGGAGTTCTGGTAGCGTAGCGGTTACAAGTCAGGCTGCTAATCTCAAGGTCAGCAGTTTGAAACTACCAGTGGTTCCACAGGGGAAAGAAGAGGCTTTCTGCTTATATAAAGATTTAGAGCCTTGGAAACCCTATACAGAGTCACTATGAGTCAGAACCACTACCACCACCACCTATTTTCAATACTTTTGTTGTTGTTAGTTGCCATGGAGTTGGCCCCTAACTCATGGCAACCTCATGCACAATGGACTGAAATGCTGCCTGGTTCTGTGGATGGGACCAATGTAATTCATAGGATTTTTACTGGCTGATTTTCATAAACAGATGACCAGTCCTTTCTCCTTATTCACGTTACTCTGGATTGAACCTAGGTGTCCCACATGGAAGGCAAGAATTCTACCATTGAACCATCATTACCCTTACTATACTCAGATAGTTACATACTTTCTGCCATGATGTCATAGAGTATGACTTCCTGTTGAGTACATTCAAGCAATCCACAGGCAAACATAGCTTTTAAAATAAGGGCTAAGTACAGCCAGGACTAGTCTGAGGCAAAGAAATTTCTCCTCTGCTATGAGTACTACATCAGTCATTTCTGCAAATTCTTTCATGTGCTTAATTTTACTCAGTAAATTCAAGCTATGTTGGTATTTGTCTTTTTCCTCAATGTCATATTCTAGAATACACTCTCCAAAGAGTGTATATATAAAACCATGTTCTGAATACTGTTCTTTATGGGAGACTTACAGGGTAATACTGACTACATGGAATTTAAGATGTGACCACTCATTCAACAGAACTTTCTTATATTGTCACTAAATGTCAAAATATGTCAATAAAAACATACAGAACAAATAAAAACAAAAAATATACAGATTTGCTGCAGATACGAACCTATAGATTTCAACATTCTTGTTCTTTTGTCTAGAGAGTTTAGAGGCACTTGCCTCCCCAGACACAATTATAGTGTTGTTTTCCATGACAACACCAGTACACACGGTTCCTAAACCCTCTCCGTACTTGGGAGATGAGATGAAATAGATTTTCCGTAATACAGGATCACAACAAAAACTGGCATCCCCATAGTTCTTATGTCTTGACCTGATTCCTGAAGAATTGTTACCAATGCAAAGCAGAAGAGTGGTAGTCTCCATTCCATAACGAAGATTTAGAGAATGCTGTTGAGGTGTCTTGATGGCTTTGAATGCATTCTGAATTAGATCAATGCAACCTGCATCACACAGAAGCATTGTGTTCCTTTTTAGGGCTTGTCTTAAAAAAGAAGGATTTATAAGTTCTAATCGGACTTGCTTCAAAAGCTCAGCAAGATGCTCTGTGCGTAATTCTTGGTTATGATTTACCCATCTCAGAACTAAGTCCAGAATGCTCTCCTCTCTGGATATGTTAAGATCATCGGATTTAATAAGCATCATAAATTGATGCACTTCAATTTCTAGTATTTCTTCATGTAAGCTCACCTCTGCAAAGTGCTGATATAAATATTTCTTTGATTGGTCAGTTAAGTCTTCAGCTCCAATCTGCTTTGCAAAATAATAGATACCTACACAATTGGAGGCATCCATATGGTCCATCATATATTTTTGACACACATTAAAGACATCTTCCATCTGCATAAAATAGGCCGCCATAGCTACAGTCTGCACATTGGCATTATTGATCTCTAAAGTGGTATTGTACATATAATTTAATATAACGGACACACTTTCTGCTGTGGTATCATGGAGTATGACTTCCCTTTGAGAACACTCAAGTAATCCACAGGTGAACATAGCTTTGAAATAAGGACTAAACGCAGCCAGGACCAGTCTGTGGCAAGGAAATTTCTCCTCTTCTGCTATGAGTACTACATCAATCATTTCTGCTAATTCTTTCATGTTCTTAATTTTATTCAGTAAATTCAAGCTATGCTGGTATTTTTCTGTTCCCTCAGTCTTGTACTCCATGCTGCACTCTTCAGAGTTTCTAAGTAAGTCTTTTTCAATTTAACTTGATTTTGGAGAGGGCTATTTGCATGTCTGAGTAGTCACAAAGTAAGAGAGGTGGCATGCCACATTCCTAAAGAGAAAGAACAGAAACAGTTTCTTCTCAGAAAAAGATATTTACAATTTAAGTGTGCAACATTAGTTCTAAGAGGTTTTTTAAAATAAACGTTACTAATTTCAAACAGAGAAGTTTAACTTTAAGATGGCTACTCTTGTATCTAAAAATAATGTGTTTAATTGTATATTCAGCAAATTAATAACAGTTGATTCAGTCTCTTTCTATTCAGTCACGGAGATTTTTCTTGAAGGATTGGAAAATCCACCCTTCCTAAAATAAAATAAGAAGATAAGTAATAAAATAGACACATTTTACTATTCCATTTCCAGTTACTAAATATAGTCTGCCAGGCAGCATTAGGTTAATAATCTTTCTGAGGAGATGCAACATTATCACTTCAAATGCACAGAAAAGTTAATCACTACAGATTCATATATAAGGACCAATCCTCAAAACCATGACTGGGGCAATATAGGATACACCCTTGAAGTGGGAAGACTGAGAAAAAAGTTCACTAAAATTATGTTACATGGCAAATTATTCAAAACAGTGGGTAGATACAAAAATCCTTTTAAAAATCAGGCTTTGGGAAACAAACCAAATGTCTGCTGAACTGAGAATACAAAATATTTGAAATCTACAACTAAGTCATCATAAAATTAAAAATGCATACAATCCGTCCAGTTTTTCTCCTTGCTCAGCTTCTCTTTGTTCCCGGTTTCATAGTGGCATACTGCCTTAGGAAGCTCAAGTCTAATTAAAAGTTTCTTTTAAGCTGGTTGTCTGATCTTCTTCCCGGGGGGTGGGGGGGGGGAGCACAGAATGTTTCAATGAAGTTAATTAGCTGTCTTAATTTAAAAAGCACATTCCTGGAGTCAGAAACCTTAATGTGAAGACAGAAACTCAAGTCTCTTGTCACCCTTTCTAATTCTCACTATAAATTGCATGCACTATGAATAAATGTCGATGATCGAAAATTTCTAGGAATTACAAAAGAAGAGGGAATAATTTCAATAAAATGAGTGCAAACTTTGTCAGTTGTATTGTTGTTAAGTGCCCTTAAGTAAGTTCCGACTCATAGCGACCCTGTATAGGGTTTCTGAGGAGCGACTAGCAAGTTTGAACTACCAACCTTGTGGTTCAAATCAACTGTATGGTCCAGAGCTTATCTAACAGCACCACACCAGGACTCCTTGTCAGTTGTAAAGGTTATAAATTATCTAAATTCTTGTACTTTGCAAAGGATTAGAAATTTTATGAGTCACAATGAAAAATGACTGTTTTTAAATTTTTTTTTAGTGTTGAAGTTCATTTAGGAAACAAGCATGAAGCATGATATGAATGTTTAGTTATATAATCGCAACTGGAAAAACCTAAGAAACATTATGCTGAAGTGTGTGGAATTATCCTAATTAGACAGACTTACAATTTGTCTGCTTGCTTTTGCACAAAGCAGAATCCTGATCAAAAGGGGGGAACTCATAAAGTTCTCCTTTTTGTATTTGGAATAGAAATAAAACCCATTTTGACATACTTTCTGGCATTAAAGTCTCAGTTTTATTTCAGTAGAAACTGAAGACTTTTTTGCAACGGCTTCAAGTTACAAGTTATCCCTTGCTTTTTTGCTTTTCTTTCATTGTTTTACAAGGAAATAATCCAATTATGAGGTCATTATATTTCTGAAGTCTCTTATAACACATTATGATTAACTCAAGTCATGCTTATTATTTAGGCTTGCGTAGTGGTTACGAATCGGGCTGCGAACCTTAAGGTCAGCGGTTCGAAACTACCAGCCGCTCCGCGGGAGAAAGATGAGGCTTTCTACTCCCGTAAGGATTTACACCCTCGGAAACCCTGTACAGGGTCGCTATGGGTCGGACCCGACTCGATGGCACTTAACAACAACAACAACAACAACAACACCTCACATCACATGGTGTTCTGGTGTAGCACTGTAGGATAAGCATTAGACTGAAAGTTTGGTGGTTCAAACTCACCAGCAGCTCCTTGGAAACCCTATACAGAATGGCTGAGTCCGAACCGACTCCATGGCATTTGACAACAAGAACAAGAACAAGGTAATAACAATTATTTGTTGTTGTTATGTGCCTTGGAGTCCGTTCCGACTTATAGCGACCCTGTACAGGGTTTCCGAGGCTGTAAATCTTTACGGGAGCAGAAAGCCTCGTCTTTCTCCCACTGAACCACTGGTAGTTTTGAACTACTGACCTTGAGGTTAGCAGCCCAATTCATAACCACTATGCTACCAGAATAAAGGAATCATAAAAACCTCTATTTATCCTCATTTTTTTCTTGATAAAAGGCAACAATCACTTAAGATACTCTTCTGCGCTGACCTCCTTTCGTCAAATGAAGAAGCTGAGTCTTGACTACAGTTGTATTTGACTCCAAAGTCTGCACTTTAAACCAGGCAGCAAGCTAGTGTGGTATTTTAGGTTTGGCATGCTAGTTTATCTGTGTCACAACTATTTAGCTCTGCCATTGTAGTGCAAAAGCAAGCAGAGACAATACATGAACAAATGATCGTAGCTTGTTGCAGTAAAACTTTATTTGTGGATACTGAAACTGAATTGCATGTATTTTCACATATCATGAAGTATTCTTCTTTTAGGTGTTGCTGTAGGCAAGACATTGAACTACTAACCAATTACAAGAATGGCATTTCAAATCCACCAACTGCTCCACAGGAGAAAGATGAGACTGTCAGTTCCTGTGAATATTTACAGTTTGGAAATCCTACATAGGGGGTTTTGGTTACTTAAAAACATAAAGTTCATTTTTAACTTGTGGGTTATACAAAAACAGGTGACAGGTTGTCAACCCTTGTTCTAGGTTTTTAAGTGATTTCATTATTTTATAGATTATGAGCAGGACAACATTCCCTGTTTGGGTGCCTATTCTCCATTTCTCTGCTTAAATACAGCAGCAGAGTTTTCAGAAGGGGAATGATCATCCCTGTTTTAAAAAAGATCATTTGGTTGACCCCAGGGCTTCCACATGTATCAATTTTTTGAATAAAAACTTTAGCTGGATACAGCTTATCTATCCCAAACACAGGCTTCAACAAAACAGCAGAATACTTTTAAAGCAGAAATAATTGTTTCAAACCTTTTTGGGAAAACATTATCTGCATTTTTTAAATGGCCATAAATGTTAAATGTCTCTTCTTTCCAATTTCTTGGACAAATACGTGAGCCACCACACTTCAGAAAACATTGTCAGTATTGTTTCTTGTACGTATAAAATACGTAGATTAAAGTGGCATGGCAGATAGAGACATTGAAGTAAGGTAGCCCTGGGTTCGAATTCCAGTTTATTTGCTGTAAACATAATGATGTAACTTTTCTAACCTTTGGTTTCTTCATCTGGATATAAGGTATATATAAACAAAGCGGTTAGATCAGTCCATGACATCCAAGTGCAAAATGATGGTGATGGAGTCAATTCCAACTCATAGTGACCCTGTGTAGGATTTCTGAAGCTGTAAATCTTGACTGGTGCAGAAAGCCTCATCTCTCTCCTGAGGAATGAATGGCAGATTCAAACTGCTAACCTTGTGGTTAGCAGCTCATCACGTAACTCGCTATGCTACCAGGGCTCTTTAAGTGCTCAATAAATGGAAATTATTATTCCTTTTAGCACAGTATAGCTCAAAGTTTAGAGGCTTGAGTTTTGGCCTGTGTTACTGAGTCCTGGATTGGAATTTTTACAGTTTTCTCAACTGATAGTAGATTCATTTTGAAAATTTCCTTGGTCCATTTGAAACATGGTACACTTGTACAAACAGTTTTCCTTAAGAATCTTTGGTTACATATGTTAACCACTTGTGGGTATAGACAGACACATCCCCAATGTAAGAGAGCTGAGAGTAACATTTTCTTGTACTGAGAACGGAGAGGGCATTCTACTTTCATCAACAAAACACAATTATACAAATGTTCTCAGTAATATCAATGAGAAATTATTCTCTGCTCCAATTCATAGAAGACTGAACTGGTGAATTCATATTAATAGTAGCCATAATAATGGAGGATGAAATGGGTAGCAAAGATAAATATAAATCACAAGAATAAAGCCTAATTACTTGCAAATCCAAAATGCTGTTGAGCCCATATCCATTATATTTAGTTTTGCAAAATGGACTCCTATAAATTTTAATGTGGCACAATTTATGTAAACTATGAATTTTTTAAAACAGTGTTTAACTTTATGATCTTTATAGTCCCTTTAAAGTTGCTATTTTTTCAGATAATAATTGATACACAGCTGTGACTTTTTTTCTGTGAAGATGCTCCCTGTTTTGCTGAAGTTAAAACAAGTTTAAATTCATAGCAACACTGTCAAAAATAGCAAAAATTTGGAAATAATTCAAGTGACTACCGACGGGAGAACTGATTTTTGTTGTTAAATGCTGTCAAGTCAGTTTTGAGACATGGAGACTGTAGTATGTTCACTCAAGAGACTGTTACATGGCAGAAAAAATAGAATGACTGGAGCTACATGGATCAACATGAGTTAACTGAACAAATAATATGTATAAAAATCAAGATACATGCAGTATGTTTTTAATGTAATATTTAAAATATGCAAAACAGTATATATCCTGACAGATCAAATGCAGATGATTTATTCTGACAAAGTAAATGTAAACAGTTGGTGAATTTGAGTAAAGGACATATGTGAGTTTTTGTTATTATTCTTGGAACTTTTCTGCAAATTTGAAGTCACAGCAAAAGAAAATTTAAAAAATAAATAATGGCATGTTCTTTGAGGACATATGTAAGTGCCATTCAATATAACAAATAAAGGATCATTATAAACATGGGATTCAGTGTAGTGGTTGCCTCCATAAGGTGAGGAAGGAGGGGCTGAAGTTAGAGGA